TTTCCCTACTTCAGAAGATACTAAATTATCTCATTCACCACACAATTATCTTTGACCCCCTCCCACAAATGCTGTTTTAAAAGTTTTAGTTTTTAAACCTTCCTGTTGCACATAATTAAGACAACGTAATTGTTAGAGCTAGTCTTCCTGTCTTTGTGCAGAGTAATCAAACCAATATAGATGAGGAGGCATGAAGTATAGTCTTCCCTCAGTAAAACTGTGTACTTCTTATCATTAGTGAGAACTTCACCCATGTACAAGTGAGTACACAGCCTATCCCCAAATTATAACTATATGACTGAGAGATCTAAATACATTTTAGTCCCTGCAGCCTGGCTTGGACTAACTGTATATAGAGCACACACCATCAGGTAGTCATTTCCCTTTTAATTGGGTCACTGATAAATACAAGCTTCTGTTAGGTTTCTAAATTATTGCTGGTCACACAAATGATATTGATAAAGATTTCAATGATCTATAAAAGAAGCTGAACAATGATCATTATGGAATGACAAAATCACACACAGATCCATTAAAGATTATGATCTAAATCAGAGGTAGGCAACGTTTTTTGGCTGGAGTACTGAAAAAACCCACAAAGCCTACCTTGGAAGGTGCTGGAGTGCCAGCATGCCAGAAAAACAAAATGAGGGCAGGGGGTACATGGCAGGATGCCCTGCTTGTGCCCCTTGCCTCCCACCCAAAGTCCCTGCCCCCCAGCCCTGCTGCCCCTTGCCCCCCCATCCAAAACCCCTGCCTCCCAGCCCAGGCTCCATGGCTTTCAGTAGCTACCCAGAACCTAAGCCAGCTGCAAACAGCTGCTGCCTCCCCACCCCTGGCCTCAGCCCCAACACATGCTGAGGAAAATGGCCTTGCTTGCCATGCTCGGCATGCATTCCATGGGTTGCCAACCCCTGATCTAAATGCTTTACAAAACAAATCTCTAAAGTCAGTGGAAATCTGCTTGAGTACTGGCATCGGGGTCTGGCCCTACCAGCATGAAAGGAAGCAACTATTTGGCTAACAAGATCACACTGACTTATAGGCTAAACGGTACAGACATTCAAAAAGCCCGAGGTGGAATCAATCCAAGTCACTCGGTTTTATATAGCCAGTATAGTGGAATAGTTTAAATCAGTAGCAAACAGGATGCATGCTTGCCCTTTGATTGCGTGGGAGGGGACACAAATCTTAGAGTGGGTTCTGCCATTTTTAAACCAGTCTATGTGTGCCAAACTTCTGTTCTGTTTACGGGTATAGACTGCTTTTGCATGCCGAATTCCTTTTATAGTTACCAACCAGTTTCCAATCACATATATGGGAAAAAGTGTAATGTCTGTATCTGGCCCTACAGTAGAGGTACTCAAATGCAGATCAAAATATTCTGTATTTAAATTAAGTTTTACAAATTACATTGAACACAAAATATTCCAATATTTGTTAACGTTTCTGTTTTCAAGACTTTATTAGTGGCAAAAGGCAGTTTCCATTAAAGAAACAGAGAGATGCCAACATACAAGAAGAAATTTTAAATAGGAAAAATTTGCAAAACTGAAAAGACATGGTTAAATAAGTTACTTTCTACAAATGATCCATTATTTCACACTGTGCAAGGTGCTTTTTAAAAAAAAAACCCTAGTATTTTAACTTGAGGCACTTAGCCAGGCTGGACACCAGAACCAAATCATAAATGTAAGTTCATCTAGAATATTGCCTTTTTCTGTGGTTTAAAAAGAAGCTTCCTTTCCATATTACTTTTTTGTGTGAATTTTATAAATGTCATACATGCTTATAGCTTTCATGTCTTTAGCTAAGACTTGTACACAGCATGCAAATTCAGACATTAATTCTACTTACACTGTTCTGCCCATTCCTGGTCCTCATGCTCATTATGTTGGCTATGTTGTTGAGCTTGCTTGAGACTCAAGTACAACTCTTTTGCTCTAAGTTCTTCCTGTTGCCGTATCAGTTCTTCACCTTTTTGCCTCTCTTCTTCTTCTCTTTTCTAAATGAAAGAAGGTGAGACATAAATCACTAATAAAGTAAGAGGTTCAGCATTTAGGAAATAAAATTAATCCCCCTTTCTCCTCAAACTTCCTGTGTAGACAAATCACCACTAGTCTCACTACTTTTCCATCTATAAAATAAGAATAACAATACTTTTCTATCTCATAAGATGTTCTGAAGATTAATACACTAAATACTATCATAACATACTACAGTGGCCAGGGCCATATAAGTACTGAAAACAGATCGCTTGCCTGAAATCTGGCAAGGAGAATTTGCTGTCATGTGATACCTGTTAGCCATATTTCTGTAAATTGCCCTGTTGCTTTCACACAAGCTACATCACCATGGGTGACATCTTTAAAAGTCAAAGACCACTTGTATCTTCTAATGCAGGATTTGTGGAATTCATTGTTTGCTTTAGTTGCCTTACAGTTTCCTAATTTTAGCAGCACAGAGCATCTACATGGTATAAGCAACAAAGAGAACATGTTCCTATAACACCAAAGTTAGATAATATAATTTCCTCACAAACATTTTGTCATAATCCAGCCTGTACCTAAAAAGGCCCAGAGCAAATATGGGTTATTCAAGAAATTCAACATTAACTAATCTCCAAGAACAGCCCCATGAAATCAGGGCAAATAAAACTGATTTTTTTTTCTTTTCTAATCTTTGCAGTGGATTTTCAGCTAAAACTGGCTTTTTATTAGCCAATAGCTTTAAGTACCCTGTGCATGTGTGAGGCTTAACAATGGTATTTTCAAAAGGGCATAGTGTTGATTTAACTGTTTCTTTTAGATGGGATTTTTTACAACTGATTTCAATGGGAACAAGGTGACACTGAAAAATAGGTGGGTTAAGGTCTTCGACATTTCCCAGGGTTCAGTATACAACCATGTACTCTTAGGCTTCAAGTCTTTGGAAAGTATTATAGATTATTTTCTATTTGTTTAAATAGCTGTTACATGTGTTAAAAGAGACTGACTTGTTCTAACATGGCACCTGTGCTGAGGCATTTGAGCAAATGATTCTTAAATGTAAAAGTTGCATTTGTTCATTTTTCCCCAAGTGTTGGGTATGGGGTAGAGAGGTAGAGTGGGAGAGGGACAGTGATTTTTGGATAGGATTGCTCCTTCATTCCAAGGGGGATCTCTACACATTTCAGTGTATTCTATTATATTATGGGCATGTACCCTGAACTTTGTGGTAGGACATATTTTATCACTCCAAAAATAAATCCAGTGTGTTATATAGCTCTGCAGTTTTCATTACAGCAGGGTTCACAACATGACCAGTACAATCTACAGTCTATTTTATTAAACACTATAAATACATACAAGTGAATGAAGAGATACTGGGACTGAGACTATAAACTGATTATTGATATTCTCGAAGTCTCATAACTTCCAGATCAAGACTCAGTCCCACCCTGCGCAGAGTTATGCTGTAGTGCTAGTTTGGTATCCAAGTTTTACTTGGATGTCTCTTTTCCAGGTACCATGCTAACACAGCTTGACCTATGGTAGCTTACAAGAGCTAATCAAGATCCCCAAACAAGTGTATGTGACTGAAGTCTTGGCATTATTTCCTAGCTATGACCATCTTCTGAAATCTGTGGTATACTCTCAGTAATTACTCCATCCTGCCAGTGGATTGTAGTATTAGTTTGCTTAGACTCGTGTCATCCCCTCAAATAGAGAACAAGATACCACCAATGCTGAGGGCTCAATCTGCACCATAATCTTTAGCAGAACCTAGTCTTAAAATATATATACATATGGAAAAGTAGCTGTGGTTAGTGGTTGGCACTGATGGCATTGCTGCTAGCAGCACAGTAATTGGTGCTGCCCTGTGCATCAAAGACATCCCATGGATCAAAGGGTATATATACACATCCCTTTGAGGGTTTTTTCTATGTCTTTTTATTTTATCCTCCAGTGTCTGGCTTCCTTCATTTCATCACCCTTCTCCCACCCCCATTTCCTTTCCACCTCCCATTTCATTAATCAGCCCCATCCCATTAACGCTCTGCCTCCCTGCTTCATGTTTCTGTTCCCTTCTCCTCCCACCATAATCTATTTCTCACACCCCCCCCCACCTAGATCATGAATAGAAGCCGGTCCTGGGCTTATCAGCCCTCTAATGGCAATTCACAGCTGTCACTCCTAGTCAGGCCCCTACTCACTAGGCCTATAGTCAAAGTCACATCGGTTGTTATAGGCCGCCTAGAAGTCAAGGTTATATACCAATTAGTATTTGCTTGTCACTCCTTGTTATCCTTAAAAGAAGTTCATATGAGTCCTAGTGGACTCCAAGATGAACAGGAGTCATCAGTGTGATGAAGTCATCAGCAAAGCTAACTGCACTTTATCAGGCATCTGCTGACAAACAGAGCCAAGGAGGTGATACTCCCCCTCTATCGGGCGCTGGTCAGACCACAGTTGGAATGCTGAGTGCAGTTTTGGGTGCCGCACTTCAAAACAGATGTGGATAACCTGGAGAGGGTCCAGACAAGGGCCACTTGTATGGTTAAGGGCTTGCAAGCCAACCCCTACGAAGAGAGACTAGGGCACCTGGACCTCTTCAGCCTCCACAAGAGAAGGCTGAGAGGTGACGTTGTGGCTGCCTATAAGTTCATCATGGGGGGGCAGAGGGGAATTGGTGAGGCTCTACTCACCAAGGCGCCCTTGGGGGTCACAAGAAATAATGGCCATAAGCTAGCAGAGAGCAGATTTAGACTGGACATTAGGAGGAACTTCTTCACAGTTAGAGTGGCCAAAATCTGGAATGGTGTCCCAAGGGAGGTGGTGCTCTCCCCTACCCTGGGGGTCTTCAAGAGGAGGTTAGATGGGCATCTGGCTGGGGTCACCTGAACCCAACCCTCTTTCCTGCCTATGCAGGGGGTCGGACTCGATGATCTATTGAGGTCCCTTCCAACCCTAACATCTGTGAATCTATGAGTCTATGAACATAGCTGCATTTCCAGTAGAGAGAAGGGGCTCCCTCCAGAACATAGAAAAAACATTGTGTCTTGTTTTCCCACTGCAAAACAAGTTTTATTTTCTCTTTTTTCTACCTAAAAGGTTTTTTTGTGGTTGAGGAGCTTTTGCTACAAGGATCAGAGAATTTTAGATGACTCTCCAAAGTATCTGTGTGTCATGTGTGACCTTTGCAATCTCAGCAAGGGCCAGAAGTAGCAGCAAAGATAAGAGTTGTTTGGTTGTTCAGAGGCATGGAGCACACTAGAAAGGTATACTTAAGGAGAAATGACACTCACTATTAGCAAGGCTAGGAAAAGAACAGCCATACTTTGTCAATTGTGGATAAACAAGGACAGGTGTCTTGGGTTTCACAGGGATCACTTGCTTCACAGTATTCAGCCAGCTGACATTGCTCTAAATGCTTCATGTCCATTGACATTTCAAAGTGATTGAAAAAAGCAAGCAATTTACTAATTACAAGCAATCATCATCTTCAGGGAATGGGAAACAGGAGCAAGTGCAAGTCTCTGCCTTCTGCAATGAGTCAAATACTGTTTATGCTTCTTAAAGGGCCAGATCTTCAAGTAGCATACATCAACATAATGTTTCCATTGAAGCCACCATATCTTTACTACACAAGACTTATCCCCTTGTTTTGAATTTTTTTTTGAGCAAAACTGAAATCTTCCCAGCTGAAATAATAGATATTAACAACACTGTGCCCATGGAGAACATCCAGGTTCCATAACACAACATGTAGGGAACAATTAATTAGACTACACATAGCATAAAGCCCAATACTATACTTTAATGCATTTTATGCATTAAACGCATTTTATATGTTAATGCTGGGATGTCTTATTATTTCTAAGCCTACCCACCCTTCATGTCCTGAAAAAACAGTTGAACTACCAACTCTGATATATCAAAACTACTGGGAAACCTAGATTTGAATCCCAGCAGCTTCTTGACAGGGGTCTGGCAAGAACACAAAAACTCTGGTCTTACTTGGTGTAAAGCTAAGGATTCTATAACCTTTGATGTTAGCACAGGGGTTTGTTCTGTTTTCAGAATAAAGTATTTGCTCAGCTCTTCTTCCCTATCTTTTGTAAAGTGAAATGTCTTTCCTGCACCCCTTTTCTTTCATCACTTCTGCAAAACAGCATATCCAGCAGCCAGAAGCAAAGTGGGCATGAAATAGGCAGTCTTGGCATGCAAAAAAATCCCAATTTACACCAGTAACTAAAAGTTAAAATCTACTAACAAAGAAACAAAATAAATTCCTATATTGTTGTTGTTGTGAAAAAAATGACAGTATCTAAGACTGTAAACAGATGTTGCATTTTCTCCCAGAAGAAAACCATTTGTCTCAAGTTCCCACAGATATTCACACCCATTATCCCACATAAGGTTCCTGTGAAGCATGCCATGTAAAATATGCTAACATTTTTCCTCAGAGACCCTTCCCCTAGAGGCTTCTCTAAATTAACTGCAAGTCATTCTCAAGATAAGCCTGTCAGGAAGTGTGCTCTCCCTAACCACCCACTGGCAGAGGAGTATCATTGCAGCTTGGACATGCTAGATTCGAGTATGTACAGACATCACATTCAAGATTAGGTTGATCTAGAGGCCCAATTGTGTAGGCATTCAGGAGATTTAATTAATCAAAAATGGTGTGCATGATCTAATTTAGCTTACCCCAGGAAGTGCACCAATGTAGATGGAGATCAGATTAACCCAATCTAGTAGAGTATTAACCCAAACTCCTGAATGCCTGTACACATTTGCAGCACAGCCCTGGGGCTGGGAAAGCCCAAGTGTTCACCCCAGCCCCCAGGCTGCGCTAATCCCACACCACTCCCCACCAACCTTGACTGGGCTATTTTTAGCCCCCTGACCCCCCACCCTTGACCAGGCAATCTTTCCCCTTCCTACGGGCCCACCAATTCCCCCCCAAAGACCCATTAGCTTCACTGATCCCCCAACCCCAAGTTACTAAAGTCAGGCTCCCTGT